AGGGATCATTTTTAGGAAGCAAAAACTTCCTCTTTAATCTTATCATAATCAAAAAATCTTGCCCTCAAGTCTCACCTTTGGAATCCTTTTCCTACAATTTTGTGCAATGGGTAGCCCCCTTCGTTTTTTGGGGCCCTCCTTGCTCCAAAGCGTTTCTCAAAAAAAGAAAATACCTTTGGTCAAATTTTGTAAACTTAGGGGCAAAATTTGCACTTTTTTTTGTTAAAGACTGTCAGGTCTTTTTCTGAAACCCCCCTAACCTTTGACGTTCTTTTTTAGCTTTTTATTAATTTAATTTTTAGCCTCTAGTCAGCTAAATTTTAGTCTCTTTCTCCTTTCCATATCACCTGGAGTGGTGATTCTCTCTCCACTATTAACAGGCATGTTTACTGTGAATTATTACCTTCTTCCCGAAGCCCAAAAATCGAAAAATCATCTTTTTGAATAGTTTTATCTTTAAACACTTGTTCCCCTTTCGTATCAGTGGAAAAGTTTTCCCCCAGGACATAAAAAAAACACAAAAATTTAAGTAAACTAGCACATAGACTTACCATAACCACAACAAAAATGTGTTTTTCCTTTCCCCCCCCTTAGGGAAAAAACAACCTGTAAACTAATTTTTGAAAAAAACACTTTTCCCCTGACACCACCTGGTAAATCTTCTACCCCGAAACATGCAAATGTTATTACCCCATCCAGCACATATAGTTTCAAAGAATGTTTTTGAGTTATTTAGCATTTAAATAACTTCCGGTCAAGCTCCCCTGTTAGTTGGTTTTTTTCCCTTTTACTTTGAAATGAGGTTTCACACCTGTTCTAGTGGGGGTAGCTTTTTTCTTTAAAGGCCTTATTTGTCTAGGGTAATATTACTCATGGGATATCTTTAGTGTCTCTGATCCTTTCACCGCCCTCTTACAGGTTATGAAAATATACTAAAAAAAAATAAATGTTTCTCAATAATATGTACAGAATTACAATCAACCTCCATTTTCAAAAACAAAATCACACACTCCTGCCTGTGCTACATGGTGTGTTGCAAAAATCTTGTCCTTCATCTTCCTGACATAACTCTGGGCTAACCGTGTTTTGACCCAAAAATTTGTCAAAGGGTTGGTGGCCCTTTAATTTAAAAATAACCCCAGCACACAGGGATTTTTTCCCCAAAAGTAGGAAAACCAGGATACTGAGGTTGAATCAGCCACAGGAGAAATCATAAAAAAAAACTGGTATCCCCCCAAAAAAAAAAAACTTTTCCCAACACTTTTCCCTTAAAACAATTTTACACCTCAATTTTATTTTTGAAAAAATTTTTAAATCTTATTTTAAATTTGGGGGTTTTTGCTTAGTAAACCCTTTTTTGGAAAAAAATATTTGACCCTGCCTCCGATAAGGGACAGTCCTGCATTTAAAGCAAACCCCCAAAAAAGGTTAATAGAAGAAAAAACAGTTTGGGTCCTTCCCCAAAACCCCCAACACATTTTTTTCTCATCCAAAAATTTACCCCTCCAAATCAGAAATTACTTCCTTTTTTAAATTTTTAAAAATTCCCCAAAATTTTTTGAAAAATTTTACCCCCTCTCCCATTATAATCCTTCTGTTTTTTAACAAAATCCAAAAATTTGGTTTTTTGCTGTTTTAAATTAAAAAATTTTTCTTTTTCCCCTAAAACAGGCCCCCCCTTACATTCTGTTTTTCCCTTTTTCACCCTTTTATAAACTTGGGAGAAAATATTTTTTTTTTAAAATTAAAAGTTTAACTGGATAAACAAAAATTATTTACTTTAAAAATTTTTTAAAAATAAAAAAAATTAAAAAAATTTCCTCCCCTTTTTACTACTTCATTTAATTTTCTTTTTTTTTATTCTTTTTTGACTGGGCTTACAATAAAGGGTTTGACCCCCCAACTTTTTACTAAAGTTTTTTTTTATATATGAGTTTGGTTAACCAAAAATTACAACAAATTTTGGCAAAAATTTTAAAACTTATTTACTTAAATTTTTTTTATCTGCTTCAGCATACTTTGATAAAATTTTTTTTTACCTGGCCTACTGTTCTCTTTGGGCCCCCCCCTTCTTACCATATTGTTTGGTTATTACATTTATCTTTCCCTTTTTTTTTTTAAAAGGTTTCCTTTGGGGAAAAAAAAGTTCATTGAATTGTTAAAGGGGAATGGGTCTTGACCCAGTAGGTGAAAATTCTTGTCTGGGGAATTCAGTTCTTCCTTTTTTCAAAAGTTCCTACCAGTTTCCTGCATATGGGTTATGGGGACCCAGATATTTTCTGAGGAATAAATTGTGGTTTCTTTACATGGTTAAAATTTTTCCCCCCTCAGTTTAGGGGTTTCCCCAAAATTTTTGGGCCCGTTTTTCCATTAACGTTTTTTCCTATAACCATTTTCTGCAGGACAGTTTGTTTATTAAAATTAGCTTGTCTGTGTCTTTACCCGACATGACGAGCACTGTCATTGCATACAGTAGGATTTTCACTTGACACTGATGGCTGTTGACTTAACATAGTAATAAAAGGGACCCAGATACTACCTGAGGAACTCCCCAAAGTATCAGCAGGGGTTTATTTTGTTTTGTTGATTTTACAATTTTTTTTATTGCTAAATAGGATTTTTCCCCTTATGGAAAGTATGCCGATAGCTTGCAGTTTTTTTCATATGTATTGTGGCTAACAGTATTGAAGGCCTTTTGTGTCTAAGGTTACCATTCCTATGAGGTTTTCCCATCGACATTTATTTCTCATGTAATCCCTTAATTAATTAGGGAGGTTTGGTTGAGTAAGATCTCCAAAGCCCGTTGGTAACTCTGAAGAATGTTGTTGTCATTAAGATAAATTTCGTACTTGGGCAGTACACCACTCTCTTAGAATTTTGGTATTTCACTGGTAGCTAAAAGGCCCATGTTTTCTGACATCAATCTATTTTTCTTTAAGATGGGGTAACTCTGGCCTCCTTGAACCCTTGTATGGTTTTAGTGGTGATGGACAAATTTATTATGCGAGTAATGGGGATTACAATACGAGGCACCATCTTCTAGAAATTTTTGACGGATGTTTCTGGGCCGGTGCTCCTTGTTTTGGGGTTTAAAATTTCTTAGTTTTTTTTGCCAAAAAAGTAGAATACATTTAGTTGCATCTGTTTGGGGGTTACCCCTTTTTTTGGTATAGTATGTTTAAACAATCAGAGTCTGTGTTAAAGGTATTTGATGCAACTGGTAGTTTACTTACTAGTGTTGATGCGACAGTTGTGTAGTATGAATTAAAACAATTTGCCACTTTTGTTGTTTTGTGGCATACCTCGTTATCTACATTTAATACTATGTTAGATCTGTCTACTGGTTTATGGCTATACCCCAATTGTTTTAGTTGTTGCCAGAGCTTTCTAGGGTTATTCTTGTACTCTTCGGTTTTTAAGCAATATAAGCTGTGAGCAGTAAATTTGGGCCTAGATATGAGGGAATGCATCTATGTGGTAAATATGCACCATATAAAACAAATCCTGCAGCATGCAGTTCATGATGAGAAAAAAAAACTGCGACTATGTTTTAGGATTAAAACAGTGACTTTGTGGTGTATTTTTGTATGGGTTTTTACGGTTGTATTGGCAGTTCCTTGGTCTTATTTGATAGAATGGAAAACACATTAAAGAAACAGTGATGATTTTGATTTGTTTTAGTACTGAAAATAGTTTGAAATTAAGCTCAAAATTGCAGAAATGTTCGATTTTTGCCAATGTTCAAGAGTAAACAAATGACGGTACGCATCCAATATATGTCAACTGGTGGGTCTAATGTATGATCATGAATGTGCCAATATTATTTATACAATTATTACAATATTGCATAACAGTAAATCTTCTATTTTTTGGTGTGAATAAATATTCTTCATGTGAATAAAAAATCAAAATGGAATTCATGTGTAAAGCCTGGAAACATAACTAATAAACAGAGGAAATGTTATTTTACACCAGGAACGTTTGCATTGTTTATTCTGGACCCTGTTTTGAAATTGGAATATTTTGAACTTTGTGTGAAATTGGCCAAATTTCCAATTTCTAATCACTTTATTGGGTAGTTGAAATAGTTGATTGGGCAGTTTCTTGTGCTCAATCGATAAAATAGAAGTGATACTAGTGAAATAGCTAAGAATTTGGTCAACTGCTATAATGTAATTAACCTATAATAGGAGTTAAAGTGGGCAAAATCGCAATATCGCTGACACAGCAAAATTCATGGTAGCATAATTTCGTGAATTTTCCATCAAATTTTGTACTTTTTGTTTTGTTCTCATTTCATAAGAAAATATAACAAAATTTTTTTTAAATTCATGGACCCTGTGGAGAAGCTGTGGAACTGCAGGACGGACCCATAAAGGGTCAGTCAGTAAACAGGTCATCAGGTGGTCAAGACTCACACCAGGATGAATAAAACATTTCTTTCCTCAGTTTTTTGGTATCACCTTTGTATTTCACAAATTTATTGTTTATTACCTGCAATCATAATCTGACCTATAATACTTACAACAATTAAATAGTATGATAAATGTTAAATAATGTGTTAATATGCTTGTTTGCCCTCCATGTAATTCCCAAAATTATTTTTCATGACCACTTAGAGACCATTTACATAAGCAAACAATTAGTTATTGCCCTTTTATTCTTAAGCTAGGTTTAAGTTTGCCCAAAATGCTCTGCATAAAAATAGTCTTTCTACATGCAAACCTAAATGGTACCCATCTCTGTACAAACATTGCATCGTGCTGAAATAAAATCTTCTTTCAACAAACTGGCAGTATCCCACCGAGGCAGGGTGGCCCAAAAAGAAAAACAAATGTTTATCTTTTTAGCTTTAGTAATGTATACAGGAGAAGGGGTTACTAACCCCTTGCTCCTGGCATGTTAGTTGCTCTTGTGACACCTATGGCTTATGAAGGAAGAATTCTGTTCCACATCCCCATGGAGAATTATTATTATTATTTATTGTAATTGTTTTGCAGGTAATGAAGGTTGTGTGTTACATACAAGACATGGTTTACACAGTGCACATAGATCTGCATAAAGATGTTGCTGATGATTTTGAATTGAAAGCTGAAGGTAATTCTGGTAAGGTGGATATTCAGCTCAGTAAGATGGAGCCAGGAGTGAGATGGAGCACCGTCGGCAAGACTTTAGAGGGACACGGTGATCATGTCAAGTCAAAAGAGAGAGAGGTAATGTATTACTGGTAGCCAAAAACTGCAACAATACACAAATAAGAGAAAGAAATTATGACAACATTTCAGTCCAACTTGGACCATTAACTGTATATATGCGGGTTATTTGTGTACAGTATTACTAGTCATGTGTGGGATATTTGTGTATTACTAGTAACAGTTTTTTAACTGGATGCTATCTTCTCTGTACCTATTATCTCTGAAAATGTTGCAGTTTAGAGGGACCTTTCACTTGCAGTGAAAGCACACTTTTGGTAAGACAGTAACCGAACATGAATAATGATGGTTGTACTTCCTTCCCTTTAGGTCACCTTGGTGGGTGATGGCTCGTGGCTCTTTTTTTTATTTATTGTATCTCTTTTTCTCTATATCTGTTCTTAAATTAGACACATGTGCAACACTTGGGTATCTTTATTGAGGAAACGTTTCGCCACACGATTCACGATTCTCCTTTGTATGGACTGATGAAGCCACTGTGTGGCAAAACGTTTCCTTAGTAAAGATACCCAAGTGCTGCACATGTGTCTTAATTTATCAACTTGTCGGTTCTCTGAACCATTCATCTACAATCCTGTCAGACACTGCAACTACTTGGGATCCTAATACTTAGGAATTCTTCACATGCCTAACCCTTGGACACGACCTACTTCCACATTGCGCAAATGTGATACCACCTACGACCTCTGCACCTCATTATCTGCCTACAGTATATAAGCCACTTCTTCGCACATATGCTGTATTTTTTTCAAGATTGATGGACTGATCACATCAACTCAAGGTTAAGGGACTTATTACCTCAAAGTCCTCATGTTCTTCACGATTCTCCTTTGTATGGACTGATGAAGCCACTGTGTGGTGAAACGTTTCCTCAATAAAGATACTCAAGTGTTGCACATTTTTTTTTTTTTAACAAGTCGGCCATCTCCCACCAAGGCAGGGTGACCCAAAAAAGAAAGAAAATCCCCCCCCCCCAAAATACTTTCATCATCATTCAACACTTTCACCTCACTCACACATAATCACTGTTTTTGCAGAGGTGCTCAGAACACAACAGTTAAGAAGCACATACCTATAAAGATACACAACAATTCCCTCCAAACTGCTAATATCCCGAACCCCTCCTTTAGAGTGCAGGCATTGTACTTCCCATTTCCAGGACTCAAGTCCAGCTATATAAAAATAACCGGTTTTCCTGTATCCCTTCACTAAATATTACCCTGCTCACACTCCAACAGATCGTCATATCCCAAATACCATTCATCTCCATTCACTCCTATCGAACACGCTTATGCACGCCTGCTGGAAGTCCAAGCCCCTCGCCCACAAAACCTCCCTTACCCCTTCCTTCCAACCTTTTCGAGGACAACCCCTACCCCGCCTTCCTTCCCCTACAGATTTATACGCTCTCCATGTCATTCTACTTTGATCCATTCTCTCTAAATGACCAAACTACCTCAACAACCCCTCTTCAGCCCTCTGACTAATACTTTTATTGACTCCACACCTTTTCCTAATTTCCACACTCCGAATTTTCTGCATAATATTTACACCACACATTGCCCTTAGACAGGACATCTCCACTGCCTCCAACCGCCTCCTCGCTGCTGCATTCACAACCCAAGCTTCACACCCATATAAGAGTGTTGGTACTACTATACTTTCATACATTCCCTTCTTTGCCTCCATAGATAACATTTTGTGTCTCCACATATACCTCAACACACCACTCACCTTTTTTCCCTCATCAATTCTATGATCAACCTCTTTCTTCATAAATCCATCTGCCAACACGTCAACTCCCAGGTATCTGAAAACATTCACTTCTTCCATACTCCTTCTCCCCAATTTGATATCCAATTTTTCTTTATCTAAATCATTTGATACCCTCATCATCTTACTCTTTTCTATGTTCACTTTCAACTTTCTACCTTTACACACACTCCCAAACTCATCCACTAACCTTTGCAATTTTTCTTTAGAATCTCCCATAAGCACAGTATCATCAGCAAAAAGCAACTGTGTCAATTCCCATTTTGTATTTAATTCCCCATAATTTAATCCCACCCCTCTCCCGAACACCCTAGCATTTACTTCTTTTACAACCCCCATCTATAAATATATTAAACAACCATGGTGACATTACACATCCCTGTCTAAGACCTACTTTTACTGGGAAGTAGTCTCCCTCTCTTCCACACACCCTAACCTGAGCCTCACTATCCTCATAAAAACTCTTTACAGCATTTAGTAACTTACCACCTATTCCATATACTTGCAACCTCTGCCACATTGCTCCCCTATCCACTCTATCATATGGCTTTTCTAAATCCATAAATGCAATAAAAACTTCCCTACCTTTATCTAAATACTGTTCACGTATCTGCTTCAATGTAAACACTTGATCTACACATCCCCTTCCCGCTCTGAAACCTCCTTGCTCATCCGCAATCCTACATTCTTTCAATTATAACCCTACCATACACTTTTCCTGGTATACTTGGTAAACTTATTCCTCTATAATTTTTACAGTCTCTTTTGTCCCCTTCCCTTTATATAAAGTGACTATACATGCTCTCTGCCAATCCCTAGGTACCTTCCTCTGTTTCATACATTTATTAAACAAAAATACCAACCACTCCCAAAACTATCCTCCCTGCTTCATAGTCAATTAATGGGCTCCACGCATTTTCGAATTTAACCCTATGGCACCCCAAATATACCTACTACTCCCTCACAACATTTTTGCCCCACTTTAGCATGAAATCCCCTAAACCACCATTACTTCTCCAGCACTTGGTTCAAAATCCCCACGCATTCACTCAACATTTCCCCAAAATTCTCTCTCTCTCCTCTAACACTTCTCTCTTTCCAGGTGCATATACGCTTACTATAACCCATTTTCACATCCAACCTTTAATTTTACTCCACATTATCCTTGAATTAATACATTTATAGTCCCTCTTAATCCTGCCATAATTATCCTCAACTATTTTGCTACCCCAATGTAAATAAGTGTCACTCTGGCTGCGCTCCTTTTTTTGGGTTATCCTAGGTTCTCTACACACATGGCTGCTATGTATGATAATTTCTATGTAACCTGTATTTGTGTATGACCTCAATAAACTTACTTACTTTCTAGCTCTAAACTCTATTTGAACCCCTGACCTTAAATACACTTATTCCTAGCACTGAATAACTCTCCCACCCCCTTCAGCTTTGTATCACTTAAAGCCAGGACATCCAGTTTTTCATTCATTACTTCCACAATCATCTCTTTCTTATCATTTGCACAACATCCACGCACATTCAGACTTCCCACTTTGACAATTTTCTTATTATTATTCTTTTTAGTAATTATTAAAGGAAAAGAGGTTACTAGCCCATTGTTCCGGCATTAGTTGACTTTTACAACAAAGCATGGATTACCGAGGAAAGATTCTTATTCCACTTCACATGTGTCTAATTTATCAACTTGAACCTATATTGGTCATACAGTACCTGGAGAATGGGTATTAACCAGGTTTGATCAAATAATGAGGAGAGTAACTCTAGTTTCTGGAAGCAAGAGCCCTTACAGTTAACTGTTAATACATGAGTCCCTATCTATAGGAGTGGTGTAAGTATATTTAGGTACAAGGTACAGTATAGTTCATTATTATACATTGTATATATGATGTAATAAACCTACATTCATTTGTTGACAGTCCACTTATTCTTTCATAAAGATGGGGATCTCCTGAGGATGGAGGAACTCTCCTCACATTGTCCTCTCAGTAGTTCCTTGTTTTCAATAAGGACCGCTTCTCAGCCTCTAGTCCTATTAATTTTGAATACGTTATATAAATTTGTACACTATTGCACAATAATCCTTCTTTCTGTGCAGTTCACTTGTATGCCAAGCTCTATTTCTACCAGTAATTCCCTCTGTGCAATGCTCTTCTGTGATCAGTTTAGCTTACAAAATTTTATAAAGAATTTCATGATGAATTTAGTGTTGGTAACTTGATAAAGATTGCTAAAGCTACCATAAAGAATGGAAAGTCACAGTACCATGGTTTGAACAGTTCACCAAAACCCTCATTTAGGAGAGGAACGTTAGGAGGATGTTTTTCCATCATGAACTATTGTCAGATCACAACTTAGAGAGTATGAGGCAAAGGAATGCTGGAAGTCAGAATGGGGAGAGGGGAGGATGAGAGTAATAGAGGTACAGTGGAACCCCAAGTTTCGGGCCAATAATTCGTTCCAGGAAGGCTTGTTTGAGTGCCGTGTTACAAACGAATAGTTCCCTTAGGAATTTAATTGTAAATTTGATTAATGCATTTCAGACCCCAAAAAAATACACTTACAAAAGCCCACTTAACAGTAATACACTTTACGGTAAATTAGTTCGAGTTGGCGAGGCGGCCAGATCTCGGGTTTACCCGTACAGTGGACCCACGGTGGTTATAGATATTTTTTTCACTCCAGAAGTATGTTTCATGTGCAGTACTGACCGAATTTGTTCCCATTAGAAATATTGTGAAGTAGATTAGTCCATTTCAGACCCACCAACATACACGTACAAACGCAATTACATAATATACACTTTATTAATTGGTCAATTAGGAGTTATCGTTATGCGGGGGGTCCCATCTGTACTTGTAATGTGGGCAGCTAATTCTTTAAACTCTACAAAATATGAGATTAAGCCTGTTGTGTCTACTGTTCCCAGAGGTATTGTCATTCCTTCAACTGTGCACATTCTCACATTCACCCAAGAAAACCCACTCACTGGTCATATTACCATTAGACTCAGACTTCAGCTGTGTGCTGTGAATGACAGCTTTTTACACTTCAGTTGAGTACAGCTGAAATATTTTATGGACTGAGCACATCTATTCCAGGCTGAGGGACTGATTTCCTCAAACTCCTCCTCTCCTTAAACCTTTCTGCTTTGTATTGGACTGATGAAGCCACTGTACGGCAAAATGTTTCATAAATAAAGACTCCTATATGTTGCATAAGTGTCTCAATCTTCAACTTATCTGTTTTCAAAACCATTTATCACATATTTACTTTTAATATAATTTAGGATTTGAGTGCTAGGTTCTTGGACATCCAACAGGCTTGTGTGAGTGTGTTAGATAGGAAGTGAGTGGCAGGAAGAGAGGTAGTTTATGATTAGAACATGCTATTGGAGTGGTGAGCAAGGGAACATTTATGAGCGATTAGGGAAGATGGTTCAGCAGTCTTGTTTCTTGGAGGTTGGGAAGTTAGTAGAGTACCTGCTCTGTGATGGAGGGCTGGAGATATTATAGTTTGGAAGGACATCTGAACTGTATTGGGTAATGGTAAAAATTTTTTTTTTCCTTTGTAGCATCACCTACCTT